TGACATCATGCACCCCTGTAACTGTAGAACTCTGCCACAACACCGGTTTGCATTTCGGCAATGGTGCCCGCTAGCCTTGGCCACACATATGGGCTTGATTCCTTTGAGGTGCCTCCCAAACCCCTTTGCTTGTCACTTGGAAAAATTGTGTGAAAAGTAATTAAGAGTGTCTGGTAATTAAGACATGCCCTGAAGATGTAGGTGTACCGCACCTTATCCCAGATAGCTGGTTTCCTCTTATGCAATTACACAGCTAAAACAAAACCCTTAACCTCTGAGACACTCTGAAAAGGATTCATGTATCCAGATAATCTAGACTCAGGCCATTGACCCACATACCAGATGTCCTTGGGGACAGCCTCGCAAAGACAAGAGGAAGCCTGATCCTAGCTCCCTAAATGTCCTAGAACATGACATCTCCCCCCCTCTCCCCACTGTGGGAAAAGACCAGTGAGGATATGTAGCAAAAAAAGAGGAATGTAAGCCCAAGGGACCAGGATGTCAAAAGGAGACCTGAGTTTACCTGCAGGCACAAAAAATCCCAAGAGGCACATAAAATAAAAGCAAAGCAGAATGCTCAGAGACATATTGCATGGTACCGTGTGGCAACTCACAGCACAAGATGGATGAAACAGCGATGATGAGAGGCCCATGGCAGAAGCAGTGCAAGACAGAAAGACATCAAGAAGCCTGAGCTGGGGTACCTACAAAGCCCCATACAGAATAATGGGGTTGGAATCCAATCGAAAAAAAAAAAACAGGCAATGGTATAATGTGGCGACTCAAAGAGATACAAGATGAAGACTGTACAACTACAGAAACTGGTGCAAAATAGACGATGGAAGAATGAGGATAAGGGAACATAACTGCCACAGCTGGAACCAGAGCTAACCTTGTGAGACAGCAATGGAAAAAATATCCAACTGGGAGAATGGAGAAAGCTTGCATGCCTAGAGACTGGGGGAGGTGGGGAAAAAAAAAAAAAGGCAGCTCCTGGCCTGAGACCATTATAGGCGTGGATAATTGTTACCTGTTAAGGCTGGGCTAACTCAGGGAAGGTGTCATCAATGAGATGAAAATGGAGAGGGAAGCCAGGGAAAGAAAGATGTCCATTGTGACACAGATCCCTCAGGCCCCAGAGTATTGGTTCAGCTTGGCCAAAGAGTGGGAGGAGGAGGACCCTGCAGGCTTACACCCAGCTGCTGGGCACTCAAAAGGACTGGTTTGAGCCCATGGTGAGGCTGGGCTCCTGCGACGGGCTGTGTCTCCCCTCCCTGTCTGCTTTAGTCCTGGCAGGGATCTCTGCCCGATGCCGTGCTCTGGCTTTTTGGTCTGCTGCGGTTGTATGGCTGCACTTCTGTCTGTCCCACTGCCAGCCACAGCTCGAGGGTCAGCACAGCAATGAGAGGGTGAGAGGGTTTTGAGGCCACCTGTGATCTTTTTGTCTTACTTTTGCTCCTGCAGGGAGAAAATGCTTGTGAGCAGTTTGACCCCCAGGTGGGATTGGTGGGCCCTCTGGCTTACCACTCACCAGCTGCGTCCTGCTGTTGGGCAGGGTCCTGCCACAGCCGCCTTCTCCGAATACAGACAGCCCTTCCCAGCCTGGTTCAGCCTGATCTTCCCTCGTTTACCTACCCATCACCACCAAGATCACACAGGGCCTACAGAAGAGAAAGGGGTAGGCAACAAGCTCTGCTGGTCTCTTACACACATCATGTTAATTCTCTCTTTTCTCCATGTCACCAGGGATCTCTGAAAGAAGGTGGTGGGATCCAAGCCCCTCAGGGGCATCTTTTTTTTGTGGTGGGGAGATACGGGAGTTGCCCACTGGTATCTGAGAGCAGGACATTGTAATGAACATCAGGGACAGAACCCCTCCAAGCCTGTAGGAAAGACGGAGGACGATCAGACAGCTAATTAAGGTTGCCAGCATTTTGGCAGCTGCGTTGCTCCGTGCTTCCTGTCTAGTCAGGAAATTTCCCAGGTGCCTTCTCCCAGCCTGTCTGTGCTAGTGGAGGAACTCTCCTGACCAGGACAAGAGGAAATTTGTTCAATGCTCAGAGTTAGGAAGGAGAAATCTGAGCCGAAGGTCTAGATTTTTATTTGAAGGCATTTTTTTAAGCCCATTTCCACAGTGTCCTGCGCGTAGGTGTTAGGCAGGGTTTTTAAATGATCCTCGAGGATGTGACATTTCCATGCTGGGTCCTTCCACCATCACCCACATGGTGGCCTGAGGAAGGGGACACAGGCAAAAGGATTTCAAAGGCTCATGGGACATACCCTCATTCCACACACTCACAATCACAAGGCAAGTCCCCAAACCATGAGAAGTGCAGGAGGCCTCATCTCCCACCTTTACCACATAAATATGTGCCCATCGGCAGCTCCTGCATGCCAGAACCTGGACCGTGGCCAGGATGACAGCCTTGGCGCAGGTCCCAGGGCTGCATTACCGCGCTCAGCACTGCACCTCCTGGGACAGGATGTTCAGGAACAGCTCCAGCACCACCAGCTCCATGGTGTGACTTTGAGGTCCCAGCCAGTGCTGGGACAGCTCCTACAAACAGCTTCCAGAGCCCTCTCTGCCTCCAGATACATGAAGTCCTAACCCATGAAGTTGAACGATGAACCTGACCCCTAGCCCTTAACCCTACTCCAGACTTCAAAGTCTAAGCCTCTCTAAATCCTAATCCTAAATCTAACTCCTACCGCTCCAACCCAAACCCCTAAACCCTAATCTGAACTTTAATTCCTAATCCTTAAACTACCAACATTAACACGAATCTCAAACTTGAGCCCAAGTCCAAACCCAAATCCCCAGTTCTAAGCCCAGCCTGAACCCTAACCCTTGACCTAATCCCAAATGGTAACCTCAACACTTAACATCCTAACCATATTCCCTAATCCTAAACCCCTAACTCCAAACCCTCACCCTAACCCAGAGAAGTTGTGGAGTTCCCATCCTTGGAGATATCTGAAAACCCTAATGTGCTGAATCCAAACCATAGCTCCAGATTCTATCCTCCTCCTAATTCTTCTATTCTTCTATCAAAGGGAACAGCTCCAAGATATGTTTATTGTACTTTTTTTTTTTAATCTTAACTGTACAAAGAAAGCCAAGTAGGTCAGAAAACAATTGCCTCCCCTTTACAGAGATTTCCTCTCCCCCTCCCCTCTTT